CTGAATCGTAACACATGGAAAGTAAAAAAACTCATAAAATCCACACCCCGACATCAAGACACAGAACTGTTCTACAAACCTTACACTAAAGAGAGCTCTGCGTGGGAATTTATGAATTTTCTTTTCGATCACTCGTAGAACTGAGAACATTTTTCCCACATGTCAGAACAGAAAATTAAATTTGGCTCCGAAGACGGCAATAAAATTAATCTTAATCTTACTACCTCAATCAAAAAAGTCCTACAAGGAGTTCCTAATTTCTTTTCAAACGTTTTGCGGTCACTAATCCAGAATGCGCTGAAGCATTGCTTCGTTTTCCAAAACCACGCGTGGGCCACCGAGTAACGAGCTCAGGTCCAGGCGTTTTAGAAAGAATGACCAGTGCGCGATCATGATACTCTTTTCCCTTTTTAACGTCACCCAGTTTGCGGTGCACAATTCCCAGGTTGTGGTACGTGCTTGCGACATCAACATGGTCAGGTCCGAGTATTTTCAAACGAATGGTCAGTGCGCGATCATGATACTCTTTTGCCTGACTGAGTTCACCCAGATTGCAATGCACAGTTCCCAGGTTCCCGTACGTGCTTGCAAGTTTTTTTAGACGAATGCCCAGTGCGCGATCATAAAACTCTTTTGCCTGATTCAGTTCACCCAGATTGCAATGCACATTTCCCAGGTTTTCGTACGTGCTTGCGACATCAACATGCTCAGGTCCGAGGGTTTTTACCTGGATGCGAAACGACAGCTCGTAATATTCTTTTGCCTCGGCGAACGTGCAATACTTATAGCAAGTTTCCGCAAGTTTGTTGAAGTACAACGTAGTAGACGTATGGAAGATATCGTTTTCTGCAACTTCAGATACATTTTCCTTGGAATAGGTCTGTCTAATTGTTCTTACTAACGTTCGTAAATGAGGAACAGTATGCGTTCCTTTAACAACTGAATTCAAGTCATTTGGATCATTTAGTTTATAATCTTCCACAAACTGGAACAGTGCCTGAACGATCGCTTTCAAGACTATTACTTCACGTTGCTGAGTATTTCTCCCAACAACATTGCTGACAGCATCGTGCGTAACCTGATGTACTCTAATATACACACCACTCTCATTTTCGTCGAACAGCAACAGAGGGCATCTTCGAATCTTCATCCTAATGTCATCTTCATCTTGCATATCTACCTCTACGTTTCGAATGTAATTGACTGCTATCTCAAGACTCAATGGCTGTGCTGCACAGAAGGAAAGCAAAGTAAGAGTGTGTTTGAGTACAGCGTTACTGGACTTCATCTCTTCTTCAACAGCTATCTCTAATACCTCAGTCATAGATTTTGGGTAAGTTGGGTTCGTTTCTACAAAAATTCTTGCAGTTGCAACTCCTTGGCCCTTTTCGAGTCTTTGTAGGTAATTCCTCCATCCAAAATTCTCATTAGTCTGCTTAGCCTCCTTGACATAGATTGCGGCAATTGCTAAGGCAAGTGGCTGATAGTCCAATACTTGAGCAACTTTGTCTGTCTCACAATCTGAGATACCAGAAAGCTTTTCTAGAAGGGACCTCGCATCTTGAAGCTCCACACCTTTGCTGACGGAGACGTGACAAATAAAACAACTCGTGGACGGAACAGACGCGATGTCTTGTGTCGTGATCAGCAACTGACCCCTCGCCCACTGTTCATCTCCAGACTCTGGCAAATGAGCATAAATGTTAGAGATGCTTCTGACGTTATCAACAACTAGAAGCCAAGAAGTGTAGAGCTCGATTTTTGTGCCCATTAAAGTCTTCAAGTGAGAAATCTTCTCGTCTGAGCTCAAATCGGGAGAGTTAAACGTGTTGGAAATGACATATTCTGGGCACTTAAGCTTCCGGGCAAAGGAGACATACGATTCTAAAAAAGTCTTTGGGCTTTCAGCATTTACTGTCATCACAAAGGATAAAGAATGTGGGATTTCATCAACTTGATCGAAGACTCTTTTCGATACGAGACCAGCTAACTGAGATTTGCCACTTCCTGGATTGCCAGAGATGTAAAAGTAACT